TAGCATGTGTGCCGTCCCTGTCAAAATCAAAAGATCACGTGTAGATCATCAGCCTTCTTCGTTGCGCATCAAAGCTTTATTGACATAGAAAAGAACATAGCAGGTTTTCCCCTGTCCAGGCTGAATCTCTGGCTGCCATCTGGCAGTTCTGTCATCATTACATCGCCAGCATCCGTCCTGCAGCAGAGTTGCCGTGTAGTGCCCAGTATTGGGAAAAGGTCCATGATGCTCAATGAATGCCCTCAGCTGAAATTCACATGTAGTAGCTGTGTGCCCCACTCCGTCGAAGACCGGCACTCGAATCAGTGGGTCCAAAAGGACCTTCGTGACATTCTTGCATGTTTGCCCACGACGACGATAGAAGCGAAGTAGTTGTAACATGAGCACTGAGGGAATGGCCACAAGCCCCTGAAAACGATCAACACATCGATGCCACTCATCCACCAATGCTTGAATCCTAACACCGGTGCCCGGTTTGGGTTGTTGAGGTAGATGCAAAAGAAGCGGCTGAGCACATGACCCCTCGTCCAGTTGACGAACCCTCTGTGCCATCGCCGGCTGTCGAGCCTGCCATGTGCCTGCAAACAGCGGTATGTGGATCTGATTGTTAAAGTACTGAATGAACTCCCCCACATCATGTTGCACGTGTACCTCACCCCAGTCATTGAGCATGAGTCGCCACTGCTCATCCTGCACAAGTAGAAAAGGTCGATCAAGTGTGCCTGTCGAGGCTTGCTGTAAAAGATGTGCACCTGATCCTTGCATTCCCATCGCAAAGGCCGGAAGGAGCTCCAGCAACCATGCCATGACCTGAAAAGTGGAATTCATATAACAAAGAGAACTGCGATTTTGGAGAATGAGCTGCGCCGCAAAAGGAGTCTGAGATGTGAACGTGGGCGCCGAAATCAGCGGCGTCCGTACATCATATCCATGATACGTTGCTCCATCGGTCCCCGGCCTAGGCCCTCGACCTTGTACCCCAATCCCACAAGCTGAAACACCGCATTTCCCTGCAGCATGCGCATCTCGTCCCACATGGTCAGAGCACTGTGACTTCTCAAAGAGAGGTCCATCTTGTACGTGGCCTGACCTGCCATGGTCTCCGTCATTTTGCGGGTGCAATGGAACCTCGTGAGGATGGGGTGTTTGAGGCATTGTATGATCGTGGCCAGGTGGTCCAAGAGCTTGTCCTCCGGGATGGGGGGTCTGGACTGATCGACTTCCAGCTGCCTCGCCCTGGGATTCCATACTTGGTATCGCCATCCTGTTGCATCCCTCCAGCCCTGATCCATGACCCTTCGTAGTCTTTCCTGCGAAGCAATCGTACTGTTCAACCGATTCACCACCTCGCGGAAGAGAGCCTGAGCCAGGACCATTCGAAGAGGCTGTTGTCCCAACTGCCATGTTGGGTCCGCTTCCTGCTTGGCCTTGAAAGCCACTGCTGTAGAGTACAGGTGATGCAGTATGGAGTCCTGGCCCGGTTTCATGAACATGATGAACGCCGTGTCCTGTCTCAGTACTCTGAGTTCCTCTTGCTGTTTCAGCACCGTCTTGGCAAGGGCGAAAACTAGCGGATCTCGATCCTGACCCCGGTGATGATGCGGCTGTGAGTATGGCGGTGGTGTGGTGTAGAACGGGGTTTTGTCCTCGAACGGGTTGCGGCGGCGCTTGTTTGGGGTCGAAAAAGGTCCGAATGGAGTATTGCGAACCGGAGCTTCCCCTCCGCGATACCTGTTCTCCTGTTCCCCTGCTCTCCTGTTCTCCTGCTCCCCCATCTCCTCCGAAGGTTTGATCGAGCCGAAGAACTCGTCCATCTCCTCGTCCGGCATCATCTCCGGTTTGATGTCCGGTAGCATGCTTCGTCTCCTGCATTGCACACATAAAAGAGCATTGCCATAGCACCGTGCACTTGTGGAAGTGCGCCTTCCAGTCTCTGGTCTGCCGTCTGCAGAAGTGGCACGGAACGCTCGGAGTCGCCCTCTGATCAATAATTTGCTGAGTCTTATGTCTGAGCAGCTTGTACAGTGCCGGGTGAGTATGTTGATAATGTCGTTTCATGACTTTCTGTGATGCAATCCACTGTCCACACAGAGCACAGTTTTGCATCAGCTGCCCGGTGATGTCCGGCTGATGAATAAAAGTGCCTAAGCCTTTGCGCACTAGTTCTTGCACACGTGGTTGGTCAAATATAGGAATCAACGTGGGAGCTGTCTTGCATGCAGCCAAAGTTGTAGCAGCTACCGTGGCAACCTCTGAGCCGACCTTAGTGGGGTCAGTCTCCGCGGTCACTGCTGGTGTCCCCAAGCTCTCTCCCAAATCGTCGGACAGCAACGGCTGGGGGTCACTGGGATCATTTGGCCCTGCTGTCACCATAGTCGAAGTCCGAGCCTCTGCTAAAAGCGTAGCTGCAGTGGAAAGTTTTCCAATCTGGCCTGGACATGAATCATTGTTGATATGATTAGCGAGTGTCTGCCACTTGGAGAACTTTCGCATACACTGAGAGCACTGCGGTAATCCACCCACTGAGTGCTTAGAGCGATCAAAGATGGGTGTATGCGTTGAGACGATCTTGTGAGCTCGCCGTGCATGGATTTTCAGTGCAGCTGTCGATGCAAATTGCTGAGAACATACTGGACACATCCAGACCTCATTCTCCGCATCCGATTCCGGTGCCGGTGCCTCGGTCGCCTGCTGCAATGCCACCGAAATGCGGTCATTCCAGTCAGCATTTATCATCCAATCCATGTTTGGGTCTACGCCTAACTCTCGTTGATGAGCTTTTTGAAGTTCTTCGGTGGCACTTTGTATCCCGAATTTGGCCATGATCTCAGCGTGTGTGTTACCTGTAAGAAAGGCCTGGTCAGAGACAATGGCCCGGATGTGTTTCATGACGGCCTTCTGGAGGATACTTATGTGCCCCGGCGTCAGACACAGACAATGAAGTGCATACAACATCGTTGAAAGAACACAGCTTCTCCATAAGCGTAGTTTGTACTTGACCGACATACGTTTTGTATGAAGTATTGAGGCCAGTGCCCATCGTCGGTGATGTGCTTTGGCTGTCCTGTGCCGCACTGATTGAACTTCGTAGTTATCATAGGAGATGATCAGTCCCAGATATTCAGTCTTATCCACGAGTTTGATCCATGTACTGGGATCTCCTGGAGCAAGAAGAAGTCGTTTTTCTTTGCCCTGAGCACGCACATAGAGTTTCTGGATTTTGTGCTTCATGGGACCCACCGCATGCATGATGGCCTTGGTCTTGTGGGTGTTAACTTGCATGCCCATGCGTCTGAAGATCGCAATGACCCACCTGAGTTCAACGACTGCCCTTTCAAACTCCTGGAACGTAGTGAATTGCCATCGTAAGTGTGAGTCGTCGGCGTATAGCGTTGCATGGTCCCGGCACCATCTGTCCTGAATCCGATGATCAATGGCCCGACTCAATAGGGCCGTGAAAGCCGCCCAGAGTACCGGACTGCCGATACATCCTTGACGAAGGCCCCACGAGGGCCAAACTTCCTTCTCCATGCCCTTGTGTCGGAACTTGTAGCGTACCTGGCCGAGCCATTGGAGTAAGATTTCCTGCACAAAGGGGTCAATGTGCGCTAATTCCAGTGATTCCTTAATGGCACTCCAGGGCACCAAGTCAAACGCCGCTGAAAGATCCATGCTGATTTGCAGCCCGCCGTGATTCTTGGTTTTCTCAACCCCCTCCTTTTGTTGGTGCAAATTGGTACGCTGTAGGGCGCACTTGCGCCGCACTGCATCACAGTGTTGATATACTCGTTTGAGAGCTGTGAAGGTGCTCCTGCCCGGAGTGTATGCGCATTGCGGCCATTCGTGAACCAATTGATGAATTTGGTGTCGCGCCTGTCCAATGACAATTCGCATGATGCTTTTCCCAATAGGATGTTGTAGACCGATCGGTCTGAGGCTCAATGGGTTGTCATTCTTGCTCGCCGGCTTGGGGATCAAGGCTACCGAGGCGTCGGCCCACGCTTGTTGAACACAAAGTTGTGGTTGACTCCACTGGACATTGACCTGGCGGGCAATAAAAGATGAAATCTCTGCCGAGCACGCTTTCCATACAGCTGCTGGAGCAGCCTCCGGGGGCACTGCTTTCCGTAGTGGTAGATGTTCCAATTCGTGCCACACATCCACTGTGGCGACCTGGAAGGGTTCATGTTGCCGCTCAGCTTGCTGCTGCGGTGGCGTCCTGGCTCCGTATCTCTGACCGAAGGCCTCCACAATCCAATTGAGTTCGGACTCCGGCGTCATGATGTGGCCATGCCTGTACAGCTGCAATGGCTTCGGCTTATTTTTGGGGGCAATGGTCTTGACCACTTGCCACACCTGATGCATGTCTCCCCTGGCCGCGGCAGTTTGCGCCTTGGTCAATAAGTCATGTTTTCTTTGTTTACTGCGAGCCTTCGACCGAGCTTTGTGCTCGCTGTATAGTTTCATGAAATCCTTCCATTGTCGCCAAGCCTGCACTATACCCCTGGCTGTGAAGGGATGGGTTCTCATGGCTCTGAAGATTGCCCACATATCACGAGCACACTGCGCTAGAGCACGATTGGCTGCCGGCTCCTGTGAGTTGTTGATTTCCACTGCATAGAGCTCCTGTGCACTTGCTAGGAGACCCTCCTCAAGCTGTTCCATATTCGTCCAGGCATGATTCGCAATGCCCTTATCCACTGCCTCCCGAAGTTGAACGAGTGGTGGTGGTGGTGTTTGCAGCTTCATATCCGAGATCAGCTTGTTGACATCGATCTTGGGCTGGGATTTCGGGGCAGACTTGTTCCATCTCGGGTGTTGAATGGGAATGAAACCTTGTACTGGATAGTGAGTGGCCCCATCTCGCCAGCATGCAACCGGGAATTGTTGTCTCTGAAGGATCGCCGCCTGCTTGGCTCTGTTATTTGCACTCGTCTGTCTACATATAAGAAAATCAATCTGGGACGCTAGCTTGCCGAAAGTGAACGTCGCCAGCTGTTGGTGATAAGGCCTTGTCCAGGTGTTCAGCACTGACAAAGCATGGTTCGAAAGTACAGCCATAAGGTCCTCGTGATCTTTGTGATGTGCTTCGCTCGACGGCAGAACCCAGCTGCCACATACCTGTGTCATAGGCACGCATGTTGTATTCAGATCACCTGCCAGGATGATTGCATGTCGAGCCGGCACACTTCGTAATGTACTTTGTAGACGTTGGATGAGACGGTGCCTGCGTTCCGGCGTCTGTTTATTGTCGTTGGCAGCATACTGATAGGCATTTATGATGTCAATGGGCTGTTGGTGGTTGATGCGAACGTGTAGCAGTCTGCCTGGGAAGACTGGATTGAACTGGAGCTCTGAGCGTTTGGCCACGCGTGTGGAGATCATGGTGAGCACGCCGCCCACTCGGTCTTCTCGAGAGTGTCCTGCAGAGTGCACGTAATGGAATGAGGGAGAGCTCCAGTTCCCGTCAAAGTCCCACTTTGTTTCCTGTACCAGGACGATCTCCTGATCCGTGTCCTGCGCCCATGTTTCAAGTTCCCGAAAGATTTGAGAGTGTAGACCGCCTGAGTTCCACGTTACCACTTTGAGGAATCGAGTCGTGGTCGCTGGCAGTGGTCTGGAAATCCTACTCAGAGCTTGTGTTCTGACGGTAGTTGGCGAAAACCAACGGTGCGGTCTCCACAGGCCTCTGTACCAAGCTCCTCCTTCCCGACACGACCTTGCAAAGGCTCGTCGATATGATCTCTTGACATGGGTGGGAACGTTCGGCTGTAAGTATGATGCTTGAATATCCCGTTGACCCGCGTGCTTTGCCTCAGCTTCAAGTGTCGTAGCGGGATAGACACCAACCCTCACGTCTGTACTCCCAGAACGAACAGGCAGGATGAGATTCAGGAAGATCACTAAAGTAAATCTGTATAGAAACGTAGTCCTGCTGGGAGCACGGCTGGACTTGGGACCAGCCCGAGCTGCAAGTGATATAGAGGATGTCGAGGCACCTGTCGTGCGGTACGAGGACACAGTGGTATACCCTGATCTGTTGGTGCTCGCCTGTCCGTGCGAAGTCGCCTCGAGAATACACTGAGAGGAGCTCCTGCTCAGACACATAATGCACCTGCACCAAATAACCACGAATAGCAAGACTTTGACATAAGCAGAGTAGAAGCCATGAACGATCCCGTATAAGGATCCCGCTTGCAAAGTCCAAGTGGTGCTCAAAGAGTACCTGGCCGTCATAGAGCAACTTTGTGAGCAGGTGATACACTTGGAAGATGCTGCACATGCTGCCGTCACTGTCAGTGATGTTGTTGCAGACACATAAAAGCTTGTTTTCCGCGATGTGGCATTGTCATAGCTCTGCGGGAAGAAACTCGCAGATAACCATAAGAGCCGTTTGGCTGTGTGCAAATGGTCTGTGCGACCGTTCCTGGCTACCTGTCTACTCATTATCGCTCCGGGGCCGCCTTGGCACACGTCTGGGCTGTGTTCCCTAAGGACACAAAAGCATAAAAGAGAAAGAGTACAACGAGTACACTGATAAGTCTGCCGCTTTCGTCCTCTGGTCATCTTGGGCTTTGGTTGTGGTCCCGGAGGTGCATCCGTAGTTGTCGTAGCTGTTGTGTCCGTTGTGTCTGAGGGCATTGTCCGACTGGATCTGGTGGTAGAAGGTCGCCATGTTGAAGACCTGGCTCCGTGGGTGACTGGTGGTGGTGGCGGTGCAGCCTCCCGACTTCCGCTGCGACTGCGGAAGATGTCAGAATTGACGTCCTCTTCCTCCGCCTCTTCGCTAAGTCCATCGAAGTCCGCGAGGTCCGCAGAAGCGGGGCGGGATGCGTTCTCGTCATTGTGATCTCGCTCTCGGGGCTCTGGCTCCTGGAAGTATAGCACGTTCGGGTGCAACCTTTCGGCTCTGCTGAACCCTTCCAGCCTCACCACAAACGAAGTCATGTCCTGCCATGTCCACGGGATATGTGTGAGGATTTGGGTCGCCTCAACCCCCAGCTCCCTTAGCCCTTGGGCTACTGCAGCAGAGATATGGTGACTCGGCACCTCCAGAGCCTGTATAGGTAGAGGGGGCGGAGGCCCCGCCGGTGCGCTTCCGTGATCTTCATGGCGCAGCCCAGCCGCAGGAGCCGCCGTGGCGGCTTCAATCTCAGCTGAGTCGATATCCGCAAAATCCTCCGAAGAGCTGCCCCTCCGTTCATCCCGAGGCATTGTGGGCTCTACTCGATGCAGACCAGTCCGTACAGCTTGAGCCCTGATAAGACGAGTGAACATTCTGACTAGCACAGACACTGGTTTCCGTATCCATATGCAATCCAACATCGATCTCACAACCGTACCAGTGGGGCACGGGGGAAGCGTCCGCAGCTGCAGAAGCCATTCCCACAGCCTGACAGCAACTTGACGCATGAGCGAGCGCCTGTGCCAAGAGCGTCGGCGCCTGCGTCGGAGCCTGCCCAGACTCCGTCTCATTCGCCATGTCCCAGACCTACACCTTCTGCCCTTGCAGCTATGATACATCCGGCTTCTGTCCCCCTTTTCATCAGCTTCATCAGTCCAAACTGTGGAAGTCCACAGCCGTTGGCCGTCCATGTGGCCACATGATGCAGAGTAAGTCTGGATAGTGTAGCCTAGTCCATTGCCACATGTGAAGTTCGTGAGGCGGATAAGGTGATCGTCTGGCTTGTTGTAAAGCCACCAAGGGATGTGCAGCACCCCAGGCCACATCAAATTCCTGGAAAAATTCTGGATCATATAGAAAGCCCCCAGCTCTTCGCAACATGGTTTCACCCATTTGCGATATCCAGTGATGTCGTCGTCGCGGGCACTGGCACAGCTCCTGAGCGTACTGCTCCTGCTCTGATCTTGGCATTTTGTTGTGGTTGGGTATCCACTCATTGTCATCGTATTCAACTGTTGCTCTCGACAACATGTTGTTGCCACCACATTGATGAAGATAGCAAATCGGAAATTCATCGCATTCTCAAGAACACGGTCCTATCTTCTGTGGCGAGCCTCGCCCTTGCAGCCGAGACGCTTGGAGTAGTAGTAGTAGTAGTAGTAGTAGTACTTCTTGTCGTTGTTGCTGTTGTAGTAGTAGTCGTCGTCGTGGTAGTAGTAGTCGTAGTAGTAGTAGTAGTAGTAGTAGCAGGAGTAGAAGTACGTAGTAGTCGTAGAAGTAGTAGTAGTAGTAGTAGTAGTAGTAGTAGTAGTACTACTACTACTACTACTACTACTACTACTACTACTACTGCTACTACGACTACTATTACTACTACTACCTCTAGTACTAGTACTAG